ATATACATACATATATATATATAATAGTTATATACTCGTGGAGACACTATTTTTAGAGGGAATGCATCAAAGACTTCATTGAATTGAATGTTAATGCGTTTACAAAGAGCCGCAGAAACTTATTTTTTATTAAGAGAGGTAAGAATACCAGAAATATTTAAAAAAAGAGAAATTTGATTTACTTCATATTTAGAAATGAAATGTATCATATCTATTTTTTTATTATACAGATTAAAACAAAACTGTTAACATATAAAAATTTAAAAAATTTTATTGGTATTAAATCTTTAATCTGTTTTTTAAACGAGATTTTTTAGGATTTATAAATCGTAATTTGTTTATTAAAAAATATTTTTACAAGTTTCAAAATATATTAGAAATAACATTTATTTATTAATTATTATATACATTATTTGTATATGTTTCTAAAGAAAATTTGCAAAATGTGTGTATCTGAAAATTGTTCCACATATAAAAATATGTAAAAATATCACAATACGATTTACATTTAATCTAATTCCTATTTTGTTCCTTTTAAGAAAATGGAATATGAGTTGTTCACGACAAGCCCCCAGTTGTGACAGTGGAGCACTGCGTACATTATAAACATATAAAATTTGTTAATTTCAGTTTAGGTATTCTTTATTATAATTCATCATGTTTTATGCGGACATTAATAATCTCTAAAATTTCATCCCTGATAGCCTCGGCCGTCGTCGCAGTAATTCTGATATCTTCTATATTATATCTATTCTTTTTCTTCTGCTTCGGTTTATATAATATTAGCGTCGGGAAAACTTTTATATGCGCGCATTCGTGCATGTAAAAGTTACAATTAATTCTTCCAAATTTCACTTTCTCTGATAACTAAAATTAAAACAGCAGATTATATAATTTTCATCAAATGAATTATAGAAAGCTAAACTGTGATTGTGTTTAGAATAGAATGACATTTACCTGAGCAGCAATTGCAAATTCGGGTTCCATCTTTTGACAGTGCCAACATTGCGGCAAATAAAAATCAATGATCCATATATACTTACTATCCAATGCTTTTTGGTAATTAGAAGGATTTAAATCATGGACTTTCTTTGGAAAGAAATTTGTTATCCATGTTAATATGGATAACGAGTCTCGTTGCCCATTGTACAACCTATAATATGTAAAATAAAAATAATGTTGTAACATTATCTTTAATTTTATGTATTAAAAGACTTATTGTATATGAATACACACACGATTAAATTATGAATTATAATTACTTACGCGATTGTACTTAAACCTTCGCTTCCTAATGGATACATCCTAATGTTGGGATAAGAACGTATTCCTTGCGACGCGCACAAGGAAGGTTCAGCCTCACAATCTACACTGGCCACATTTATAAACGACAAACTGCTTAGTGATTTTGCAACAGCTATCCATTCAGATGCTAATCTTTGACATGGTGCACACCATGGTGCAAAATAATCAACAATCCACATAACTTTACTTTTCTTTTTCGTCAGTTTACGGTGGAAGTTTTCCGACGTTAATTCTATAACTATATTAAATAATAAAAACATAAGATGAAGAAATGAGAGACACAATATTTGTATATATTATCTCTTACCTGATGGATTTCTTTTTTCATTAATGAATTGGATAATATTCATAGCTGTTTTTTGTAGTGTAAATTGATATGTACTGCTGCCATTTACGAGCATTGCAGTAGGATAATGCTGTATATTGTGATGATGGCATAGTATAGTATGAACAGTGCAATCAATAGTACCAAAATGGACAACTGATGCATCAAATTCTAATGATGCCCTGCGAAGTTCCGATAGAAACCGTATACAAGGTGGACACCATGGTGAATACCAATCTAAGAACCACACTTCATTTTCTGTAACATTTTCCTACAATTAATATTGCAAAATCACGCTAAAATTTAGCATGTGTTTTTAGGTACCTTTATCTCCTTGTAATATCGATAATGCTTTCTCTGCAGAGAGCGCCCAAACGTTTGTAGTTTTCACACTAATCTGTACAAATTTGATGATATCATTGTTAGTAGCTTTTCCATGATTCAATTCAAATGCTCCACCAGGCTTAAGCATGCCCCAAACTGGATAACGATTGATGCCTAATTTATTACAAATCTGCTGATTTTTACCACAATTCATTTTACCTGTAAAGATATATTGCATATTATATAAAAATATTCTACAGTAAGTCCATCTCTAGAAATCCATATATGCAAACTTTTACCTAAATTAACACCATTGATTGAAAATTTTTTCATTTGCAGATTTAAATCTTTCAGATTTGCCGAATCACCAACATAAAAACATATAAGCCAAGCAGTATTAAACTCTGTTCTCTTAATAATCTGCAAATTATATTAGATATATTCGATTAATACAAAATTTGAAAATACAGAAATTGTGTATCTATTATAGAAGGGCTAACAAAATAATACTTTACTCACATCAAAATCTTTGTCGGTCAGCTCTTGTGGACTTGGCAATTGTTCCAAGAGTTTTTCTATTAATGTATTTATATCAGACATACTATTAAAGAATACAGGTTCCCAAGAAGATGCATCATGCATCGGCAGATAGACTGCGTGTGTATTGAAAGATATCTTCTCATGATACCTGCCATTCTCGCATATAAACACTCTTACATCAATTAGCTTATCCTAGAAAAATCACACATTATGTTGTTTAGAATATTAATATAGAATAAATACAATATTCTGGTAAAAATGTATCTCACTGAAAATAAATGTTCATATGAATAATGTGATATTTACAAATGTGGCTGCTACTATAAGCCTTTCATCAGAAGTGAAACAGTTCTGCTGATCACCGCATATAAAAATTAGCATGGCTCTTTGAGTAACGATGTTGCCATGTAAAAACAATTCCCATTGCGATTTACTTATTTCAGGTATGCGGATATTTAATCTATCTAATGCAAATCGCATAATGGCTTCCTGTGATTTTTCTTCTGTATAATGCACTCCATGCTGTGAATTCTTTGAGACAAAGATGAGTTAGTATTTCGTCTTACTGACAGATATGGTCCATATATGTGGAAGAAAAAATATCTAAAATTATGTAGAATCTATTTCCTAAGAAGAAATAATATATAGATAAATTAGACATCCTCTCTTTTTCTATCTTTGTATACATATACCTTTTTAAAATAAATCAGTGTAGGATAGGCACGAATTCCTACTCGATGGCATAATGGCCTGTCATATTCACAGTTCACTGCTGCAATTTTCATAATACCATCGAGTAACTTAGCTATTTTCTTCCATGTTGGTGCTAAATGATGACAATGACTGCACATCGGAGAATAGAAATTCACAAACCAACTTGATTCAGAATTCATAACATTTTCAACTAAAACGAAAATTTATATATATATAAAGCATAAATATTAATATTCAATTTGTTTTAATTAATTCTTAATATTTATAGATTTGTTTATATATTGACTTAATAACTATAAATGTAGTGACCATAATAATTCTTAATAAGGAGCAGAAAAAATTATGTACTTACAATAATCATTTTCTTCCAAATTAATAACATATTGATCATCTTCATATATAAAACTGTTTTGATAGTAACTCCATGAATGATAGGTTTGCTTTTTATTAAAGTTATTAAGACCATCTTCTCCATAAAGATCATATTTTTTTCTTAAATCATTATCCTTCAATACCTCGTAAGCTGTTGTTAATCGAATAAACTTGTCATGAGCATTTGAATCATCCTGAAATGTTAGAATATTGTTAGCAGTATTTTAGACAATGATAATTTATTATATTATTTATATAATAATAATTAATATACACTATTTTTATCAGGATGATGAATGATAGCCAACTTCTTAAAAGCCCTTCGAATTTCATCCTGGCCAGCTGTTTTATTTATACCAAGGATTTCATAATAATCTTCTCCTCGTATTAAAGTAATAATAACAAAGAAAGTAAGAATAACTTGGTACCTATAATAGAGGAGAGATTTTAAAATATACAATTAGATATAAAT